TGCTGAAATATACAAAAAAACCCTAAATCGTTAGTCTGCATGAAATTCTGGGGTGGCAGCTACATGGATGAGCAGGTATTAGACAGAGCCCTGGTCATTTGGACAACTCCAATGACCAGAAAATAGGTGGCCACATACTTCTATTTTTAAAGGCTCTGAGAGGTCTGATAACTTGACTTATTCCAGGGAAAATGTTCCCCTCAACTCCTGATGCCGTGATGGTTAATTTTATATGTCAATTTGGCTAGACTAATGTGCCCAGTTTAGTGAAATGTTAGTCTAGATGTTGCTGTGAAGGTGTTTTGTAGATGTGATTAACATTTACCGTCAACTGACTTTTTTTTTTTTAAAGATTGTTTTGATGTGGACCATTTTTTTTTTTTTTTTTGCGGTACGCGGGCCTCTCACTGTTGTGGCCTCTCCCGTTGCGGAGCACAGGCTCTGGACGTGCAGGCTCAGCTGCCACGGCTCACAGGCCCAGCCGCTCTGCGGCATGTGGGATCTTCCCGGACCAGGGCGCGAACCCACGTCCCCTGCATCGGCAGGCAGACTCTCAACCACTGTGCCACCAGGGAAGCCCTGATGTGGACCTTTTTTAAGGTCTTTATTGAATTTGTTGCAATATTGCTTCTGTTTTTATGTTTTGGTTTTTTTGGCCCTGAGACATGTGGGATCTTAGCTCCCTGACCAGGGATCAAACCCACACCCCCTGCATTGGAAGGCGAAGTCTTTAACCACTTGGACCGCCAGGGAATTCCCTTCCATCCACTGACTTTAAATAAAGCAGATCACCTTCCATAATGTGGATTAGCCTCATTCAAACAGTTGAAGACCTTTAGAGCAACAACTCAGGTTTCTCAGAGAAGAAGGAATTCTGCCTCAATACTGTAATGTAGAAATCCTACCTGAGTCCCCAGTCTGCTGGCCTGACCTATAGATCTAGGACTCAACATTGCACCTTCAGCTCTTACCTGAGTTCCCAGCCTGCCAGCCTGCCCTACAGATTTCATACTTTTTGGTCTCCTAGTGGTTCTGTGGTTCTGTTTCTCTGGAGAAGCCTGAAGTACCCCTCACCCCCAACAACACGTACCAAGTTTTCTTGGCTGTCCAAACACTGGGCCCCAGACCTAGCCTCTTCCTATTTCTCAAATCAGTATCTCCATGTCTGGTTCCCTCTTCTTCCCAGGGCATATTATCCAAAGCATTAAATCCATTCTAAATAAAGAGTTAATAACTGATGAACAACTTTTTAGGGAGGAAATTAAAAAGCATCTACTGAAAATCTAACACATTGGTATTTGTCTTGACAAAACCATAAAACATTATGCTAAGTAAAAATGAGTAATTTGTTCCTTTAATACTTCATCACTAGTGATCATCAGTCAAGTTCTACATTTTATGCAGCTCTAAACATGATTACAAAGACTTGGATCAATCTGAAAATAACTCTGAATACAACTGAAACATGGAGAACACAAAATAATGTCATGTATGTATATACATGACAAAGATGAAGGGAAATACAGATAAATGCATAATTTTTTTTTTTAAATATATTGTCAAGGACCATGAGTTTTCCCACCCCACACCCAAGGCAGACATTATTCATTCATCAATCACCACACTTTCCATCTAGAAATAGTCTCCCAAACCGTCCTTATCTCTGCTCTAGGCATTCCCTGCACCTGACATGAGGCCTGTTTGCCCTTCTGGATTTGGTCCAACTTTCTCAATTTACAGATGACAAAACTGCAGCACAGAGAGGGGGCAGATCTTACCTAAGATTGTGTAGCTAGCTCACAGAAAAACTTAAATCTAAATATCTTGAATTTTAATTGTGACCTCTTTTTTTATAAAAATAAATATTTCAGGCATAAAATAAAGTATAGAGAATAATGTAATGAACATCTGTATAACCACTACCCAGTTTGAGGTTAAATTTGATGTTTATCACTTCCATGCTATTTTTGTACTTTTATATCACATGACTGTTTCCCATAAACACTACTTAGGGGTTGTTTGCATGTTTTTTTTGTGTGTGTTTTTTTTTTTTTTGCGGTATGCAGGCCTTTCACTGCTGTGGCCTCTCCCGTTGCGGAGCGCAGGCTCAGCGGCCATGGCTCACGGGCCCAGCCGCTCCACGGCATGCGGGATCTTCCTGGACCAGGGCACGAACCCGCGTCCCCTGCATCAGCAGGCGGACTCTCAGCCACTGCGCCACCAGGGAAGCCCTATTTGCATGTTTTTAAACTCTCTGTCATTGGTAATATGTTATCTGTATCTTTCTATATCTGTCTTTCCTCTCCAAATTATATTGTTCAGATTTATTCATCTCAAAAATACATCTAGTTTTGGTGCTTTCATTTTAATTACTGTCTAGTCTTCCTTTTCATCTTTTCTCCTATTGATTCATATTTGATTATTTCTAATTTGTTGCTATTATAAGTAATAGTACCGTGTACATTCCTATGTGTGTATTCTATGATGTATATCTAAGTGGTCCTGTCTTATTTACACTGTACCACATATTCTCAGGTAAGTGCCAAGGAGGGGTGAGGAAGAAAGAGGAGAAGCATCACTCTCTCACCTCCCTGACTCTCCCTTCCACCAGGTTAAAAGGTAGAGACTGTGACTATATATAATTGTGGAGGGGCGGGGGGCCGGGCAGGAGGAAGAGGGAATTAGTCCCATTTCTTTAACTTGATTTTTGATCAAGATAGTTACTCTATTTTGAATTTCAGACACCATTAAAAGAGGGTGTGAAATTTTTCTGTTTATAAGGAGCTGTACTGGTTAAAAATGACTGTGATACGCTGTTAATCCAAAGAAGTCACTTTATAAAAGTGTAACATGCAGACCACGTGGCAGGCCATAGGATAGACATTTAGGTTGACAGCAAGCCTTTGAGTGTTCAGTTCTTCAAATAGGTGTTTCTGCCTTCATTACTCAGATCCTAGGCTCTTTCCTGACAATATTTTCTCTCTAGGAAAGAGCTTGAAAACTGGTCATTGACAGGCTCAATTAGCCCACGGGCACATTTTATTTAGTTTGTTTGGTATTTGAAATACTTTCAGCCAGGATTTAGTAATTAGGTCGTTTTTATATAAAAATCTGGATTTCCATCTTCTCAGGCAATGTTAGGCTAGTGCTAAATTGACAGGGAATATACTCTCCAATTTGTTGAAATCCCTCCCCCACTCCCTATCAGGTTATACTAGACAGTGTTTACTCATTTCATCACCTGCCTGGCCCTAGTAGGCATCTGAGTTTATTACCTCTGTGCTCAGGACTTCCACTATGCTTTCTTCCTTATGCTGAGCCATTGAAGGAGTCGCTTATACACTCTGACCTCGTGAAATTCAGACAAATATTGGGCCTCTCCCATGGAAACTCACATGTAGGCCAAGCAGATCAATTTACAGGAATATAGAATTTTTGTTTCTCAAGAAATGAATGTTTCTATCAGGCCTGCTAGTGTTGATCTGAAAGTTTTCTGAGTCAAGAAAATCTTGTTGCTGATTCAGAAAAGCTCAGGGTAACAGTCCAGCCTAAGCTGCAATTCTTTCCTGGTGCTGTGCCCAGGGGTGAGTATACAGTCACAGGATGTAGTTTCAAGAATCGCTTTCAGGGAAGTGGTGGAGACGGGGAGGGTGCAGGAGCCTCTTTTCATTTCATTCTTTTAAGTTTTATTTTGTGCTTCTAAGCTGCCATGTCTGATGCATAAGCCAGACACAGACCCTGGTATCTGAAGGTTTTCTAGGGTTATTTTCACAATTAGTCCCTCTGGAATTTTGGGGATATATTCAACAGAATTTGAAAATGAACAGTTCTGAATATTCTGACTAGCTGATACGTAGTTATTTAGAAATTTCTATGAATTGCCTATCATTATTTTGGTGACTCATAAACTTGTATGTCACACCAGGTGATCCCTAGATTGCAGGGAAAGGCAGCTTTCCCAAGAAAGCCAGAAATACCCATTTTACAATGAGACCCAGGCCTGTTGGTCCCCAACACACCACTTCCCCAGGGTCTAAGCTTTTCATCCAATGAGCCTGAATGATTTCAGCAATCCTAATTCTCCTAACCCCCAGATCACATCCTCTCTCTTCCACAAAGTCCAGCTCCATGCCTGTCAACCTCATGACATAATTCTACATCCCCAGCAATGACCTTGACACACAGCGCCCAACAGTGTACTTAAAAACTGTTGCAAAAACATCAGCTGTTGATTGTGCCACAGTTGAATATCTTCTCCTTACTGTTAAATTTAACCATGCATCTAATTTTGTGAGCCCAGATGTCCTGTGCCTTATTTTCTAGGGGTGCTTAGGAATACAGACAGACGAAAGGCTACAGAGTTGTTCTGTGGCTATACAAGACACCATCTTGTTCTCCAAGAAAGGTATGGAACAACACAGGGTTGCAAGAAAAACGGGTTAAAAATGCCACTTAACAGGAAGATTCTGCACGAGCCTAAACTATTCAGTTGCCCTTGGTGCATTAATAGAGGTTATTTCTTAATTCACGCTGGGAGAGGAAAGGGGGTGAAAAAGAAAAGAAAAATCACGATTACTTACAGCTCTGTCCACTTCCCTCCTTACCGTGGTGACAGATCTTTTGTTGTGTCTGAAAAAGAAGAAATCCAGGGATGGGTTAAGATTAACGAGGAAATAGTTCTGTTTATAGGCTAAACAATGGCAGAACAAAAAGTGACTCCAAATAAATCCACATATAGAAGTCCAAATGTCCATCGTGGTTTGAGACCTCAGGCTGAATACAACGAAAAACCATACTCTTGGGAGAAAATTGTGAAGAAAGAAGGCCCCCAGTTACTTCCCATTCTGTTGTCTGCCTCTGGCCCCCAGGTACTCAGAGGCTGAGGGGCTGCTAATTTGGGTATTCAGCCCAGGAAATGTCTCTGAAATTCTCTCTCCCTGTTCTGCTTTAGTCCTGAATACCACTTCCTTCCTGTCTTCCCTAAACAGAGCAGAAGGCCTGATCAATTAATTTACTCTAAGGTATAAATGACATACTTGTTCAAAGTAATTCCTGGGGCAGAAGCACAAATTCACATGATGGGACGCTGCTGACCACTGTTTCCCTGGTTTCATCTCTTTCTCAACCGCTGATTCCACATGTTCCCTCCCACTCTGATTTTCTTCCAGGGCTTGATGCCCATGTCCTACAGTTGCCTGGGCTCCTGAACTCAGTCCATCCCTAATTCTGCTTTTGCTCTGTACATCAGATTCTTTGTAACTCCCTCATAACCATCCTGACCTTGGCCTGGACTTAGAGGGCTTCTATCCCACATGGCAATCTCCTCCAAGAGTGTTTGTATTTGAAAGGAGCCCAATGGTTAGCCTATAGAAATTGCCCTTGAATGTTGGAGATTGAGTGAAGGTCTCTAATGCCTGAGGTCAGTGCTGCCATTCTCTGTGGTTCTCATGCAAGCATTAGCCAGCATATTTGGCCTTTGGTTTAAATCCCTGCAAAGTCCTGGCTCAGTCTTTTAGGGCAGTGCCACTCAAAATGTGATCCATGGGCTGGTACCAGTGGGTGAACTGATTGTTAACAGTCTACGATGAGATAGATATAAAAATCAAGTATAAACATTTAGAAACTTTTACAGAAATTCTTTTAATATGTTTTGTTTTTTAATGATCATATTTATTGAAATATATTATATTTATTGAAATATCATATTATATTTATTGAATCCAGTAGAAATTGGAAATACTGCTCTATCCCATAGAGTAGCTGCTAGCCACATGTGGCTATTGAACACCTACAATATGTGAGCACTTAAAATATGACCAGGGACTTGAATTTTTATTTAATTTAAATAATGACATATGGCTACATTGTACAGAGCAGGTTAGCATACATATCTGCACATGGGAGGTTAAATGTCTAAAATTTTGTTTAACGTCTATATATGCCAGGTAATGTTTTAGACACTGGACATATACTGATGAATAAGAGAAACACAGTCCCTGAACTCAGGAAATTTAAAGATTAGCAGATGAAGCAGAACTTGACATTGTTTTTGTAATAGAAGGCCAACTTCTTTTCTGGAACCCAGCAAGTCACCCTGCAGCCGTAAACTATTGAATGGTTCCTCTTAAGTGGAGATGGTAAACAGAACCTTTTATGGACTGTCAACAGCCTCCCTATACACCTTGGTGTGCAGAGCTGGTTGCTGAGACATAGGTGGGTAAATCTATTTAGGAGCCAAAGAGCCTTCTGGGTGGACCTGTTTATTTGACTCTGATAGATTTAGAAGTTTGGGATAGCAATGTCGCCAAGAGGAACTCAAGATAAGGCAGTTAGGACTGATGTCCCAGGCTCAATACAAAGGCTGAGCACAGAAGAGGCTGGCTGGGCACAGCTGCTGTTAAGGCAGGAAGCCCCTTCTGCCACACCAGCCCATGAGAATCTTGCTTTAGGAGCAATGGCAGAACGTGTGAGGGGAGCCAGAAGAGTTGCCATCCTGCATCACTCTGGTCTGTGTGGGGATCTGGACTGGCAAGCGTACATTTGTGTGGTGGACAGAGATACCCAGAGGGAACAGAGATGTTGCACGGCAGTAGAAACAGCTGCAGCTCAAAACCAGTGCCCTCTGGTGAACTGACCTAGCTCCCCAGTAGCTTTCTGGCCTGTTTTGAAGCAGCACTGACTCTGGGGGCTAAGCAAGCCTCCTGACAGTCTGTGGGAGGTGGAGAAGTACATACTGTAAGAGGGAGACACTGGACTTCTTGCTGAGGTAGGCAGGTGTGTACTTGAGGATTTGGAAAATTAAAAGGGATGCAATTCCATTTATAGCCCAAGCTATTAAAACAGGCCCTAAGTATGTAATGTGTGCTGAGTGCATTGAAAGGAGAAGTAGGTGCTATGGAAATATCTAACAAGGGGATTTGAAGTAATGGGTGTTGTGAGGGAGTAGAGTCAGGGGTGGGAGTAGAATCAGGGAAGGCTTGATGAAGTGACAGCTTAGCTAAGATTCAAAGGATGACTCCAACTCAGGTGGACAAAGAAAAGAAAGTATTTTAGAAAGAATGAATATTATATGAGAAAACTCAGAATTGCAAGAATGAGATACCTCTGTGGACCAGACAATTCTGTATGGCTAGAGCTTGGAAAACGAGGGTACAAAGCCGAGATGTGAGTCATAGGACCAGGGACTTGTTGGGACTTCACCCATCGAGCAGTGAGAAGCCATGGAAGAGGTGTGAGCAGAGAAGACATGGTAGATTTGAGAATTTAAACGCCTGTTCTAGCTAAATTGAAAATAGACCACATTGGAGGCAGGAGTGGGTGCAGGGAGACAAGTAGGAGGGTTCTGCCCTAGTCCGGGTTGAACCACAGTCGTGGCAGTGAGGTTGGATCAATAAGCTGGAAAATGTTGTTCTCATATTGCTTCCTGCATCAGATGGAAAAAACACCTCAAAGAGGTTGAGTGACTCGTACAAGATCATAGAACCAATATGTGGGAGCACCAGGTCCAGACCTAGCTTCTGTCACTGGTTTAAAGCTCTATCCAGAGTACCAGAACTTCTCAAGCTTCTTCTGTGACGTGAGTTTGTGTACATGGCAGATGCATTTCCACACGTGTATCTGTTTACTCCCTTGCAAGAAAGCAGATCCCAAAGCACAAGAGTTAGAGAGGGGGGGTTATTACATAGGCAACGGTGATTTCACTCTGGTTCATTAAAAACAGAAAAGGAATCATTTGAAAATGTATTCACTTACCTCTTATTAGTAACAAATCTCTCCCACTCCAGTTGGTGCCTGAGACTTGCACCCAGCTTGAAGCTACTGATAGCTTCACTTACTCTTGAGATTGGGATGGGGGATGAGGGGCGGATTTCTTTTTTCTGCTCTATCTTTAAGAAATGTTGCTCCATTTCATTTTCCCAAAGAGAGTAGGGACAGAAGACTCTGCTGCTCATTTCTGAGGTGACTAATGGGCTCTCAGGTCCCAGGTCTGGAACCTTGGTTATAAAGTTGTTTCTGAGAGGTACGTATGAGGGAGGTAATGAAAGAATGCAGAAGGTAAGATTCTGATGAGCTGCATCTGTCATGACTCTCTGAGGTCATAGATTTGCAGAAGTGATTCTGTTTAGTCAAAGTTCTTTGGGGCAAGACCCTGTAATTCCTCCTTTATGGTGAATTGCCCTTCCCCTCCACTTCTATCCCCTCTCTCTCTCTCTCCTCACCCCATTTTTCCTCCTTTCCTCCCTCCCTTCTTCCCTTCGTCCTTCCTCCCCAACCCCCCTCTTTCTTTTAACAATAGTTCTTGGATCCTGGATTCCATAGTAGAGGGTTTTGTGGTTAATACCCAAGCTAATGCACACATAGGTCAAAGGAAAAATTATGACAATATTTCATGGCAGATGAGACTATGGAAGTTAGACTGTAGACGTAGGATAACAATCACCTAAAAGCCCCCCAATTCTCCAATAGTGACCATTCCAAATTCCTACTGAATTATTCCCAGATGAATTTTCCTTTTCTATAGGCCACGTTTAGATCTTGGGAGGAGCTCACTGGGGGCTGACAAAGGAATAGTTTTAGAAAGCACCAGATAGGCCTGAGGTATTCTGGCATGGGCTCAAAGGCCACAGGTGTGCTCTGTCCCAGCTGTCACAATAGAGTAGGAATGGGTTGGTGAGCATGTGACAGGGTGAGGAGGGAGCTGCTGAAAGACCTCAGGGTACCACCAATCATGTGCCTTCCCTACCCCCAGATGGCCTCATACTTTTTTCCTTTCCTTACCCAACCAGAAGATTCATATTCTTGTGGGAAGGAGGAGGGCTCAGCCCAGCTCAGACCCAGAATGGAGAAAGGAGGAATGAGAACTAAAAAAATCCTCATAAAGGATCCTGGCATCCTCCCATGAGTGAACTCTGACCACATACTCATCTGTATTGTGAAAATAACACTGATCTCACGAGGCTAATGACATTTTCTTGGCTCAAAGATCACAGCAAACAATTTCGGCCACAGGAACAAAACATTCCTTTAAAAATATTCAGTGTAAAGATTCCAGCTCACTGAAGACTGGAGCCATTTTTTTTCTGGGGGAAAAATCATCAGGAAAAGCCCAAAGCAATTCATAAGCCCTGCGTGGACTTAGTTTGAAGCTGGGCAGCTATAGGCCAGTGAGGCCAAGCAGAGCCTCATACTGCAGATACCCAGTCCACTCAGTTACCATGAATGAAACTCACTTACCTTTTCCAGAATAAAACTTCTGGCAGAGCCGTTTTCTTAGGACTATTATTGTGGCTATGAACATTAAAGCAATGATGAAGGAGAGGATGAAAATATGAAGCAGTGAAGATGGAGGGGTCTCAGGGGATTCCAGATCACCTGGAGGAAAGAAAAGCACCAGAATCCCATTACATGTTAGCTTAGAGGTAAACCAACAACTTGGCCAAATGTCTGGGTTATAACCAACATGGCCAACTTGCACTGAGCATTTACTCTATGCCAGGTACTGTCCTATGAATGCTGTATGTATATCAATGCTGTATATATATGAATGCTGTATGTATATGAATGTTGTATGTATTAGCTCTTTTACTCCTCACAACCACCCTATGAGGCAGGCTCTACTATGACCCTCATTTTACTGATGAAGAAAGTGAGGCACAGAGGACCTTCCCAAAGTTATACAGTAAGTGACATAGCTGAGATATAATCCAGGCTGCCTGGTTCCAGATCCCATGCTTTTCATCATTCTGATACACCTATCATATTATGTCTTCCTTCCTTCTTTCTTTCTCTCTTTCTTTCTTTCTTTCTTTCTTTTCTTTTTTTTCTTTCTTTCTTCCTTCCTTCCTTCCTTTCTTTTTCTTTCTTTCTTTCCTTCCTTCCTTCTTTCTTTCTTTTTCTTTCTTTCTTTCCTTCCTTCCTTCTTTCTTTCTCCCTTCCTCCCTTCTTTCCTTATTTCTTCTTTCTTTCCCTTCTTTCTCTCTCTCTCTCCTTCTCTCTTCCTTCATCATCTCTCTTTTTCCAGTAGGATAGTCCCTCAGCCCAAATATGTCTCCTCACTCCACTGTCAAGCACTCATGGTGCTTAGAATTTTTACCATCAGTTATTCAATCTCCAGGATTAACAGGATCCTTTTGAAAAAAATAGAATATCATACCTTAGCATGAATCACTACAACTAGCCCTTTTCCTTGTCTCAGCTAATCAAGGTCTGACAGTGAGGAAAAGATGAATTAGTAGAGGGGTGGATGAGAAGAGTAATTTTGGAGGTTGGGGGAAAGCCTTGTAAAGGAGAGCTCTGGTTAGAATGAGGGCCCCAGACTGACAAAGGGCAGGCCTGGAGGGGCGTCCACTGTAGGGAGATGGAAGGGTACCCAGGGTAAACTGTGCCCTTTCCAAAAGGCTGAATTTTGCCTCATGGAGTAACTCAAAGAATAAACATAACAGGGAATTCCCTGGAGGCCCAGTGGTTAGGAGTGTGCGCTCTCACTGCTGAGGGCCCCAGGTTCAATCCCTGGTTGGGGAGCTAAAATCCCACAAGCTGTGTGGCGTGGCCAAAAGAGAAAAAAGAACATAACAGCCTGGTCCAGGAAAAACCTGGCAAAACTGCTCATGAGGAAGGGCTCAGTCCTGCCAACTGCCCTCCCCCTCCCCATCACAGTGCTGTCTGAGAATCACAGACAGTTTAGCTGAGAAGGGATCAGATATTTAATGTGAGGCCTTCGTTTTACAGTTGAGGAAGTAAGGCTCTGAGATGCTAAATTATCTATAGGGTCATCACTGCTAAGTAAGTGACGAAGCCAGGATTGCAAACCTAGATCTGTCTGATCCAAAGCTCAGGCCCCACAGATATTTGTCTCTATCCTAAGAGTGTGGTGAACATTAAGGAAAAAAAAAGCATTAAGAAGTCTGGTTCATCTACACATTGGATAATCCATATATAAAAATTTTAATTGAGGTATAATTGCCATATAACATTATATTAGTTTCAGGTATACAACATAATGATTTGATATTTGTATATACTGTGACTGATCACCACAATACGTCGTTAACCTCCCTTACCATACATAACCCATAGTAATTAATATCTTCTAGGAAATGCTGATTAAGCACTTGCTACATGTAGCACCATAAGTCAAGGAGTTCTCACTGTCCCCACAACAGGAGAGGCCCCTACTTCAGTGCCTTTATGCAAACCGTTGTCCTGTGCAGGTTCCCTCATAGTCTCTTCCACACACAAACTCTACTTATTCCTGAAGACTTTCTAACATTGAACATCCAACAGGACATCAGTCTGCTTAGATTGTAAGTATCTGAAGTGCAAAGATTTTCTCTAAGTCACCTCTGAATCCCCTATAGAGCCAGGCGCCAGCTACATGAAAGATGTCAATAAGGATCTGTTGGGCTGAACTGACCATCTGTCTATCTAGTCTACCTTGCCCAATCTTCCTTGTCATTAGTTACCTTGTGGAAGACTGCTGCTTATCCCTTAAATCCATTCTCCATTTCTTCTCTAGTATTAGCTAGGGATTAGCTGGACACATGGCTTCTCTGAGACTACATTTCTAAGCCTCCCCTGCAGTTAGGTGTGGCCAGCCACGTGAACTAAGTTCAGGACTAGAGAATGGGTGTTTTGAGTCTTGGCCTTCAAACACTGAATGTGTCTCTTTTCCTTTCTGAAGGCTGAAACATGAATGTGGCAGTGACCCAGCTTTGACAATTCAGCAGGGGTAACATCCTGGAGAGTGCCAGAGCAACAAGATGGAAAGAACCTGGATTATTGAATGACTTTATGGAATATAGTGACTTACCTGCTCTGAACCACCTTCTATCTCTGACTATGACATCAGACAGAAATATACTCCTGCTTTATTTGAGTCACTGTATTTTGAGGTTACTTAGCCTATGTCCTAATACATCTTCTTTTAGATTGTTTTATAGTAATTGCATGCTACTTAACAATGATGTCATGATGCAATGGGAAAAACATTGGATTTACCCTATCCACAGCCTCATGCACTCACAAGGAAGTCATGCCTCTCACTAAAGGTACCATATTTTTTTTCCTGTTTCATCCTTTCTGACTGCTAAGGACTTTACAAACATATTTCATTTAATCCTTACAATAACCCTATTAGATAGCTACCATTATTTACCCTCATTCTACAAATGAGAGGCTGAGTTCTAGGGTGGCACAGTCATACGTTCATGTTCTCAGAGCTAGTAGGTAGCAGAGAGAGGATTTGAAATTCAAGTCCATCTGACTTCAGAGCCCATGCTCCTGACCACTGCCAGAGAGTCACTTCCAAGTCTGCCGGGAGAACTTCTCTGCCAGCCCTACAGGGTCTTGTTATAATTATTTCCTGTGTTCCAATCTCATTACATTTCCTAATGAAAATGCAACACTGCCTTAGTGGAAGGAACCCTGTTTCAAAGGGAAAATGGTCTCATTGCTCCTTCATTTCTGATTGAAAATCAGGATGTTCAGTCATCTATTCTAGAGCCACTGGAGCACCTCCCACCCCAGACTCTCACTGCTATATTTGTTTTATTCATTGACTTCTGGAGAAGCATGTTGTGGGTCACAGAAGTCAGCAGTGAGCAGCTCAACTTATGAGAATGAGTAGAAAGGGGACAGTCATAAGACAATTTAAAAATGCCTTTGTGAAACAGAAGCAAGGATGCCTTTGTGGGAGAATGTGTGACTTTGGTTATTTTGCTGCTATTTTGTTGGTATTTGTATCACAAACTAGGGGATCATTTGACTGCTCTGATCTGGCTGTCCACACAGACTAGCAGCTGGGATGATGGGACTGGGGTCATCCAAGACTAAGTCTCCAACCCATTAATCTGACATTTATTGAGCACTTACCATGGGCAGAGCACTGAGGTTTTGCTTTAGTTTGGACATAAAGAAGACTTATGTGAACAATTAAAATACATGGAAAATAAAATACCAATGAAAGAGAAAAGACAAGTACAGTCACAGGCAAACAAAGAAATGGTACAGGCAATAGGTTTTAGGACGCAAGATGAGGGAAAGGTGCCTTGTACCCTGGAGTTACCTGAGCTGCCATGGAGAACTGGTGAAGAGGGCGAATAATGATATTTTATGTGGAAGAAACTACTGAGCAGAGAAGTCATGGTGATGGGAGAGGTACAAGCAGGTTCAGAGAGTACAGGGAAAGGAAGGTGAGCTGCCTGGAGCAGAGGATCCATGTCAGTGGATAGGATGAATATAGAGCTGGGAAGGATTCTCAACCTATCTCTAGAGACTGGTTGAAAATCTCTGACTACACAAAGATTCCTCCATTCCCCTACCAGCCGCATTCATGAGTGGTATCCTAGGAGCTCCCAACCTCTGATGCAGACCCCACAGGTCCCTCCCACGATTGCTGACTATTCCATCAGCTCTGTTGGCTCCCTTGGAGAGAAGAGCCAGCGTACTTCATTCTTAACTTCTCACCACCTCAAGGCTTCCAGAAGAATGGTTAGTCTGCTCTTCCACCTCTCTACCATGAAGAAAAAAATACTGATGTACTCAGTGATGTGAAGTGTAGATTCCAGTTATTTCCAAATTCATCTTACCCAGGCCCCTGTTTCCCAGCAAAGCTCCTTATATAAGTGTCATTCTAGAAAACCACATTTCATCCAAAGTATTGGCCAAAAATTAACCAGGAAGAAAATTCCACATAACAAAGGAGAGTTTACTAAACAATTCTTGGAAAAAAATAATTCCCCTGGGATTGTAATATATAAGACTCTAGACCTCTGTTATGAATTAGTTATAGCTCAATTTTTATAAGGTGACAAGTCTGGTGGTCTTAGCTGTGATTTAAAAAAGAGGTAGAGAATATTGAAAGGTCCAAACTTGCCTAATTCACTATTTTCACTCAAAGTTGGCCCTAAAAATGGTAAGTTGCTAAATCCTTAGCATGAATCCTCTCCTTACTTCCTCATAACTTAGTTAGAAAGAAGCTGGGTTAACTTTAGCGCTGAAATTGGGTAGCCAAGTGTGGATAGCTGGGGAAGTGGGGAATTGGGGGTTTGAAGATGACAACGGAGCTGGCTGCCTCTGAAAACTATATCAGGGAGGCTTCTTTTCTTGTAGGAAAGTGAAACGCTAGGAAATTAATGATGAGATGGGCATTGAGTCACTTCAAAGTTCTCAGTCTGGTCTGTGGATTGGTGCCAATCCATGATAAAATTTAATTTGAGATAGGGCAGGTATCTCTGGTGCCCCAACTCATATTCTGCCTGTCTTACCCCTGATTTCAGCTATGGCTGAATGTGGCTGAATGATGGATGGTTCTGTGCAGGTTCTAACTCACTTCCCCCAGACAGTCTTGCCTCAACCATGTGCTACTTTTATGCCAGGGTTCCCCCAATGCTGAGGGTTGGTCCCTTTCATCATTACTTCCAGTGACCCATTTGTAGAATTTTTGCTTCTCATCTCCACAAATTTAGGCTCCACTTAAAGGTCCAGCTTCCTAGTGGCAAGTGCTTCTACCAAAGGATGCTGTACCAAGGGATATGTTCTACTGCATCTAGATACTGCCTAGTCAGCTTGAGCTCTACCCACTGTCGGACCAGCAGGCAAAGAAAAGAATCATTGCACTGGTAGAGTAATCAATCTTGATTACCAGGAAGAACTCAAATGCTGCTACATATGGAGGCAAGGAAGACTATGTCTGGAACTCAGGGATCCACTGATTCTCTGAGTCTTGTTACTTCCATACCCAATAATAACAATGAAAAGGCAATTGCAGCAACTTCAGTCTGCTAAGGGCAAGGTGACTACGGGCTCATGTCTCTCAGGGTTGAAAGTCTGAGTCACCCCCAACCCCTATTTCTCTCCACCTTCCAGGCAAACAAACTATTCCACCTGAAATGCTGAGCGAGGGAAATCTAGAATGCATGGTGGATGAGAGATTTGACAAACATCACTTACGGCTTGGGATCAGTTGCAGCAGCAGGAGCTGTAACTTGTTTCATGAACTCTCATATATGCATCTTGTGCAGAGATTGTAGCTACTTCCCTGCCTGAAGGCCTGGAGACAGTGGACTTAATGTAGGGCATGAATGGATGGACTTGAGCAGCGCAAGGGATAGACTGTTGTAGTCCCGCCTCACTTCCTCTCAGCTTCACCTCTGATTTCAGCCACAGATTGGGTAGAATTCGGGGTGGGCCTTAACTCACTTCATGGTCAGTGATTCACCTCAAGTGGATTCATTGCTTTCTGCCCTGGAATGACTTTGATGCTATAGATGCTGTGGTGAGCTCACTCAGCCCACATGCATGCATAGCTCACAGTAGAAGGAAGTTAACACTTCTGGGGATGACTATTAACCACTGGGGGTAAAAGCGGATGGATTAGTCCTTCCACCCGAAGCCCTTTGAGTAAACATCTTAGGAGATGATCTATACACTTCTCAGGTGGTCCTTGAGTACTTAAGCTTCTATTGTCCACACCAACAACTTTGGTAATGAACCCTTCTATTTGCTTTTCCTTCTTTCCTGTCTTGATTTCCTAAACCTCTCACTTCTGCTCCCTAGGGTCATCACCTAAATACCTGCATGCCACACAAGTCCTTATCATAGGCTCTGTTTTATCTAACTAAGGTAAAGGGCAAATAGTGAAATATAATGACAACATAGCAAATCTTCTATAAAGTCGAATTTATCATAACTAGGGACTGTTCTTTATTTGGAGATTATATCCTTTATTGGTATGATAGCAGAATAATGATTCCCCTCAAATATGTCCATGTTCTGAAACCTGTGAATGAGTTATCCTACACAGCAGAAAGATTTTGCAGATGTGATTATATTAAGGACCTTGAAATGTGAAAGTTATCCTAAATTATCAGGTTGAGGTATGTATTGCGGGGAGGCATCTAATGTAATCACAAGGGTCCTTACAAGGTGGAAAAGGTGGCCCTTAAAAGGCAAGAGAGTTAAAGAAAGAGATGTGATGACAGAGGCAGAGATCTGAGTAATGCAATTGCTGGTGTTGAAGGCTGTAGGAAAGGTCCACGAGCCAAGGAATGCAGGTGGCCTCCAGAAGGCAGAAAAATCAGGAAAATGAATTCTCCCTTAGAGCCTGTGCAATCCTGTCGACACCTTGATTTGAGACCAGTGAAGCCCTTTTCAGACTTCTGACCTCCAAAAGAGTGAGGTTAAGCCCATGATGTTTGTGGAACAATAGGAAACTTATGTCTCTGGTGATAAAATGACCTGTCTCTTATGAAATGATTATGATACTAGATGTTAACTCTCTTATTTGGCAAATGAATGTTCTTGGCAGATAAAAAAAATTGTCAGACTACCAAAACTGTCAGAAATTTTGCTGGTGCACGAAATTCTAAAGTATGGGATTCAGCATAGCCAGTGAAGGCTCTAGATGATTATTTTAAGAGGTCAGTTTTCCTGGAAAACCCTAAAACCACTTGGCTGGCAGCAAAGCCAGCAAAGTAATACTGCTTTACTAGTAATACTGCTTTACTAGTAATACTGTCATACTGCTGACTCGTAGCACTGCGCCTGAATCACAATGATGAGCCTTTATGCTGGGTATTTTCAGTTTCCTCTCTGGATCCATTCTCTCCACTCCAACACTCAGTTCTGAGCTCTGAGAGGTTGACTTTATGAACATGTCAGTGGAATTCCACCTGGGCTCTGCTAATGGGAAGCACCAGCAGGAGACTGGAGGGTGGGAGGACAACGAGGTTGTGGTATCCATTCATCAGCTTCTGCTCTTTGGAGTTGATGCAGGTGGCAGCATCCCTGTACCGGAGGCCACAGCTTCCTTCTCCAGTTTCCAGTAGCCTCTCCAGGGTGGTAATTGCTCCCCGACTTTTGAAACCCCAGGTGTCCTGCACTACCTTTAGTATTTCTCTAAATCCTAATCCCACCTTCATAAATAGTCCCTTTATTACACTGTCCTCAGATCACTCATTCTGAATGTGCCATTTCTTGCCTGAACCCTGACTGGTAAGCTAGGCAGCTCTTACCTTGGTCAATGATGGCCGAAGTGAGTTCCTTCATATTGGCATTCCAGAACACACAGCTGAAATTCCTGCCAGGGTGTGGCTTTAGGCGCAGAACACTAGTGACCAGGTAGAGGCCTTCAGAGGTCTTGGTGTGGCTGGTGTTGGTAGGAACACTGATATTTGGCCAGGACACTTCAGCCAGGGGATAGCCTACAGCCTGGCAGGTGAGCTCTACCTCATCTGTCCCTGGGACCTTAAGGTTGCGAGTGTTTATTTTCTTGTAGGAAGCTGGACAAGAGAAGAAGAAAAAGAAATAAGTCTCTCTTTCCTGATTCCCATAGATCTCTGTACTCAATGCCGCGTGAAGTAAAATTATCATTATCAACATTAAGTACTAATAGTTTTAACTTGTTAAACATTTCCTATGTCCCAGATATCATGCTATTTTAATACATTGAATTATTTAATTTTTACAATACATCAAAACAGCATTGTTAATATACCCAACTTTTGTTGAAGGTAATTGAGGCTAGAGAGGTTGAGATTTCACGCAGAGGCACAGGGCTTTTAACTGGTGGAGCCAATTTATGCACACTCGAGGTTTGATTCCAAATCTCAATGGTGCTTTACCCTACCACAACCTGTGGCATCCTGTATTAATGTAAATTATCTTACAACTGGGGATTGGAGAAAAGAGAGGCTGGATAAACTAAATCACTAGATAACCCCCACATCTCACTTTATTTAGTACTTTTTCTAACATCTTCAGGAGAAAATTTTCTTTCCATGTCCTCCTTTCCTCTGTCCTCTTTAAGATTAGGAGGAGAAAAAATAAGGACCTAGAAATCTGTTGGAGGTCAGATTCATTGCCATCTTGGTCCCAGATGGTTCCATCTAGGTTTGTTTTTTTAACATCTTTATTGGAGTATAATTGCTTTACATTGCTGTGTTAGTTTCTACTGTATAACAAAGTAAATCAGTTATACCTCTACTTACATCCCCATATCCCCTCCTTCTTGCATCTCCCTCCCACCCTCCCTATCCCAACCCTCTAGGTGGACAAAAAGCACCTAGCTGGTCTCCCTGTGCTATGCGGCTTCTTCCCACTAGCTATCTATTTTCCTTTTGGTAGTGGTATGAAATGATTATGATACTAGATGTTAACTCTCTTATTTGGCAAATGAATGTTCTTGGCAGATAAAAAAAATTGTCAGACTACCAAAACTGTCAGAAATTTTGCTGGTGCACGAAATTCTAAAGTATGGGATTCAGCATAGCCAGTGAAGGCTCTAGATGATTATTTTAAGAGGTCAGTTTTCCTGGAAAACCCTAAAACCACTTGGCTGGCAGCAAAGCCAGCAAAGTAATACTGCTTTACTAGTAATACTGCTTTACTAGTAATACTGTCATACTGCTGACTCGTAGCACTGCGCCTGAATCACAATGATGAGCCTTTATGCTGGGTATTTTCAGTTTCCTCTCTGGATCCATTCTCTCCACTCCAACACTCAGTTCTGAGCTCTGAGAGGTTGACTTTATGAACATGTCAGTGGAATTCCACCTGGGCTCTGCTAATGGGAAGCACCAGCAGGAGACTGGAGGGTGGGAGGACAACGAGGTTGTGGTATCCATTCATCAGCTTCTGCTCTTTGGAGTTGATGCAGGTGGCAGCATCCCTGTACCGGAGGCCACAGCTTCCTTCTCCAGTTTCCAGTAGCCTCTCCAGGGTGGTAATTGCTCCCCGACTTTTGAAACCCCAGGTGTCCTGCACTACCTTTAGTATTTCTCTAAATCCTAATCCCACCTTCATAAATAGTCCCTTTATTACACTGTCCTCAGATCACTCATTCTGAATGTGCCATTTCTTGCCTGAACCCTGACTGGTAAGCTAGGCAGCTCTTACCTTGGTCAATGATGGCCGAAGTGAGTTCCTTCATATTGGCATTCCAGAACACACAGCTGAAATTCCTGCCAGGGTGTGGCTTTAGGCGCAGAACACTAGTGACCAGGTAGAGGCCTTCAGAGGTCTTGGTGTGGCTGGTGTTGGTAGGAACACTGATATTTGGCCAGGACACTTCAGCCAGGGGATAGCCTACAGCCTGGCAGGTGAGCTCTACCTCATCTGTCCCTGGGACCTTAAGGTTGCGAGTGTTTATTTTCTTGTAGGAAGCTGGACAAGAGAAGAAGAAAAAGAAATAAGTCTCTCTTTCCTGATTCCCATAGATCTCTGTACTCAATGCCGCGTGAAGTAAAATTATCATTATCAACATTAAGTACTAATAGTTTTAACTTGTTAAACATTTCCTATGTCCCAGATATCATGCTATTTTAATACATTGAATTATTTAATTTTTACAATACATCAAAACAGCATTGTTAATATACCCAACTTTTGTTGAAGGTAATTGAGGCTAGAGAGGTTGAGATTTCACGCAGAGGCACAGGGCTTTTAACTGGTGGAGCCAATTTATGCACACTCGAGGTTTGATTCCAAATCTCAATGGTGCTTTACCCTACCACAACCTGTGGCATCCTGTATTAATGTAAATTATCTTACAACTGGGGATTGGAGAAAAGAGAGGCTGGATAAACTAAATCACTAGATAACCCCCACATCTCACTTTATTTAGTACTTTTTCTAACATCTTCAGGAGAAAATTTTCTTTCCATGTCCTCCTTTCCTCTGTCCTCTTTAAGATTAGGAGGAGAAAAAATAAGGACCTAGAAATCTGTTGGAGGTCAGATTCATTGCCATCTTGGTCCCAGATGGTTCCATCTAGGTTTGTTTTTTTAACATCTTTATTGGAGTATAATTGCTTTACATTGCTGTGTTAGTTTCTACTGTATAACAAAGTAAATCAGTTATACCTCTACTTACATCCCCATATCCCCTCCTTCTTGCATCTCCCTCCCACCCTCCCTATCCCAACCCTCTAGGTGGACAAAAAGCACCTAGCTGGTCTCCCTGTGCTATGCGGCTTCTTCCCACTAGCTATCTATTTTCCTTTTGGTAGTGGATATATGTCAATGCCACTCTCTCACTTCGTCCCAGCTTACCCTTCCCCCTCCCTGTGTCCTCAAGTCCATTCTCTATGTCTGTGTCTTTAGTCCTGTTCTGTCCCTAGGTTCTTCAGAACCATTTTTTCTTTAGATTCCATATATATGTGCTAGCATACGGTATTTGTCTTTCTCTTTCTGACTTACTTCACTCTGTATGACAGATTCTAGGTCCATCCACCTCACTACAAATAACTCAATTTCGTTTCCTTTTATGGCTGAGTAATATTCCATTGTATATATGTGCCACATCTTCTTTATCCATTCATCTGTCGATGGACACTCAGGTTGCTTCCACGTTCTGGCTATTGGAAATAGTGCTGCAATGAACGTTGTGGTACATGACACTTCTTGAGTTATGGTTTTCTCAGGGTATATGCCCAGTACTGGGATTGCTGAGTCATATGGTAGTTCTATTTTTAGTTTTTTAAGGAACCTCCATACTGTTCTCCATAGTGCCTGTACCAATTTACATTCCCACCAACAGTGCAAGAGGGTTCCCTTTTCTCCACACCCTCTCCAGCATTTATTGTTTGTAGATTTTTTGATGATGGCCATTCTGACCAGTGTGAGGTGATACCTCATTGTAGTTTTCATTTGCATTTCTCTAATGATTAGTGATGTTGAGCATCCTTTCATGTGTTTGTTGGCAATCTGTATATCTTCTTTGGAAAAATGTCTATTTAGGTCTTCTGCCCATTTCTGGATTGGGTTGTTTGTTTACTTGATATTGAGCTGCATGAGCTGCTTGTATATTTTAGAGATTAATCCTTTGTCAGTTACTTCGTTTGCAAATATTTTCTCCCATTCTGAGGGTTGTCTTTTCATCTAGTTTATGGTTTCCTTTGGTGTGCAAAAGCTTTTAAGTTTCATTAGGTCCCATCTGTTTATTTTTGTTTTTATTTTCATTTCTCTAGGACGTGGGTCAAAAAAGGATCTTGCTGTGATTTATGTCAAAGAGTGTTCTTCCTATGTTTTCCTCTAAGAGTTTTATAGTGTCTGGCCTTACATTTAGGTCTTTAATCCATTTTGAGGTTATTTTTGTGTATGGTGTTAGGGAGTGTTCTAATTTCATTCTTTTACATATAGCTGTCTAGTTTTCCCAGCACCACTTATTGAAGAGGCTGTCTTTTCTCCATTGTACATCCTTACTTGCTTTGTCATAGATTAGTTGACCATATGTGCGTGGGTTTATCTCTGGGCTTTCTATCCTGTTCATTGATCTATAGTTGTGTTTTTGTGTCAGTACCATACTGTCTTGATTACTGTAGTTTTGTAGTATAGTCTGAAGACCAGGTGCATGATTCCTCCAGCTCCATTTTTCTTTCTCAAGATTGCTTTTGCTTTTTGGGGTCTTTTGTGTTTCCATACAAATTGTGAAATATTTTGTTCTAGTTCTGTGACAAATGACATTGGTAGTTTGATAGGGATTGCAATGAATCTGTAGATTTCTTTGGGTAGTATAGTCATTTTCACAATGTTGATTCTTCCAATCCAAGAACATGGTATATCTCTCCATCTGTTTCTATCATCCTCAATTTCTTTCATCAGTGTCTTACAGTTTTCTGCTTATAGGTCTTTTGCCTCCTTAGGTAGATTTATTCCTAGGTATTTTATTCTTTTTGTTGCAATGGTAAATGGGAGTGTTTCCTTAATTTCTCTTTCAGATTTTTCATCATTAGTGTATAGGAATGCCAGAGATTTCTGTGCATTAATTTTGTATCCTGCTACTTTACCAAATTTTTTGATTAGCTCTAGTAGTTTTCTGGTAGCTTCTTTAGGATTCTGTATGTATACGATCATGTCATCTGCAAACAGTGACTGTTTTACTTCTTCTTTTCTGATTTGGATTCTTTTTATTTCTTTTTATTCTCTGATTGCTGTGGTTAAAACTTCCAAAACTATGTTGAATAACAGTGGTAAGAGTGGACAACCTTGTCTTGTTCCTGATCTTAGAGGAAATGGTTTCAGTTTATCACCATTGAGAATGATGTTGGCTGTGGATTTGTCATATATGGCCTTTATTATGTTGAGGTAGGTTCCCTCTATGCCTACTTTCTGGAGAGCTTTTATCTTAAGTGGGTGTTGAATTTTGTCAAAAGCTTTTTCTGCATCTATTGAGATGATCATATGATTTTTATCCTTCAATTTGTTAATATGGTGTATCACAATGATTGATTTATGTATATTGAAGAATCCTTGCATTCCTGGGATAAACCCCACTTGATCATGGTGTATGATCCTTTTAATGTGCTGTTGCATTCTGTTTGCTAGTATTTTGTTGAGGATTTTTGCATCTATGTTCATGAGTGATACTGTCCTGTAGTTTTCTTTTTTTGTGACATCTTTGTCTGGTTTTGGTGTCAGGGTGATGGTGGCCTCATAGAATGAATTTGGGAGGGTTCCTCCCTCTGCTATATTTTGGAAGAGGTTGAGAAGGAGAGGAGTTAGCTCTTCTCTAAATGTTTGATAGAATTCGTCTGTGAAGCCATCTGGTCCTGGGCTTTTGTTTGTTGGAAGATAATTTGAATGTTGGTGTTTACTGTTGTCCCAGATGTCTCTGAGACTGTCCTCAATTCTTTTCATTCTTTTTTCTTTATTTTGCTGTGCAGTAGTTATTTCCACTCTTCTATCTTCCAGGTCACTTATCCGTTCTTCTGCCTCAGTTATTCTGCTTTTGATTCCTTCTAGAGAGTTTTTTGTTTTGTTTTGTTTTGTTTTTGGTTGCACTAGGTCCCAGTTGCGGCAGGCAGGCTCCTTAGTTGTGGCATGAGAACTCCTTGTTGCAGCATGCATGTGGGATCTAGTTCCCTGACCAGGGATCGAATGCAGGCCCCCTGCATTGGGAGCATGGAGTCTCATCCACTGTGCCACCAGGGAAGTCCCTCTAGAGAGTTTTTAATTTCATTTATTGTGCTGTTCATCATTGTTTGTTTACTCTTTAGTTCTTCCAGGTCCTTGTTAAAACGTTTGTTTTATTTTCTCCATTCTATTTCCAAGATTTTGGATCATCTTTGCTATCATTCCTCTGAATTCTTTTTCCGGTAAACTGCCTATTTCCTCTTCATTTGTTTGGTCAGGTGGGTTTTTACCTTGCTCCTTCATCTGCTGTGTATTTCTCTGTCTTCTCATTTTGCTTAACTTACTGTGTTTGGGGTCTCCTTTTCGCAGGCTGCAGGTTCATAGTTCCCATTGTTTTTGGTGTCTGCCCCCAGTGGGTAAGGTTGGTTCAGTGGGTTGTGTAGGCTTCCCGGTGGAGGGGACTGGTGCCTGTGTTCTGGTGGATGAGGCTGGATCTTGTCTTTCTGGTAGGCAGGACCACATCTGGTGGTGTGTTTTGGGGTGTCTGTGGACTTATTATGATTTTCGGCATCCTCTCTACTAATGGGTGGGGTTGTGTCCCTGTCTTGCTAGTTGTTTGGCTTGTGGTGTCCAGCACTGGAGCTTGCTGGTCATTGAGTGGAGCTGGGTCTTAGCATTGAGATGGAGATCTCTGGGAAAGCTCTCGCTGACTGATATTACACGGGGCCGGGAAGTCTCTGGTGGTCCAGTGTCCTGAACTCGGCTCTCCCACCTCAGAGGTTCTAGCCTAACAGCCAGCAGGAGCACCAAGACCCTGTCAGCCACACGGCCAGTTACATGGGGAGTTTCTTGCCTTTTGGGAAGTCTGAGGTCTTCTGCGAGCACTCAGTAGGTGTTCTGTAGGAGTTGTTCCACATGAAGATGTATTTTAGATATATTTTTTGAGGGGAAGTTGATCTTCACATGTTACTTCTCCAGCATCTCGAAGGTCCTCTGGGTTTCATTTTTCTGTTTCTGTTTGTAGCTTCCTTTCTTATCTCTGGACACTTTAACTTAAATTCCTGCTAAAGGTGGGGGTTGATGGCTTTTGAGCAAAGACCTGGAACAGCTCTGGCAACACTTTGAAGATGAATGAGTTAATACATGTAAAGTGCTCAGAAAAGGGCAGGAACACAGTAAGCACTTGATAAATGCTATTATTTTTTTAAAGACTTAGATTCTGCCTATAAATAGTCAAGAACTGAGTATATTTATACTTCTAACACACACACATACACACACACGCACACACACACACACACACATACACCC